CTACAGCACACATCTATTCTACCTGATAAATACTATTTTTTCTCAATGCTGTGTCGGTATAAAATCAAGTTCATGATGGTACGGTCATTGGTACAGTCTAAACTCTAAAAGTTAAAGTCTGTAGGTACTATCATGGTACTATATGTATAGAAACAAGACGATGATAGTATTTTTGTATAAATTTCTATACCTAATGGTAACGTTCCCAATAAACCACCCATTACTGTTGAATTATTTTATCCTCCTCCTTTAACAATAAATGTAGGTACGGTCATTAACAAAAGTAATGATCGCTTAATCCTTAATAGGTAAACTCTGCAGCATAGATACCTACCCAGCATGCTTATATCACATATGGCTCCATCGGTGTCTTTAAGGAGGAGGTACCTTAATTTGTTCGTTTGCATTTCCAAGTGGCACAATATATTCAAATGTTGGTTACGTATGCTGCAGAATTTACCTATTCAGCGATCATTACTTTTGTCAATGACTTACATCAAGATCAACACAAATCCGACAAATCGATTACCTACCTACGTGTTTCATCATTCACTAAAACATACGTATAAAGTCTTGATCCCTTCCATCACCCAATTTTCTTTACATACGGTCATGTAACATCCTGTATAAAAAAGTTGCGCTTAGGTTAAGAAGTACCGAAGTAGTAAGGAGTTAGTAATAATAAGAACATAAGAATACTTGGTAGCTGAATTAGTATATTATTACACGAGCATGTTATGACGCTTATTATTCACGAGGTTCACGTTTGCGACGCGAGCGAGCTTACGAGCGAGTGGAGCAAGTAAACCGAGTGAATAAGAGCCACATCATGCGAGTGTAATACTATACTTTATCTGAAGAAAGGGCTGAAGATTTTAGATTTCTTCTTAAGATGTCGATCTGATTTACGTTTAAGGAAAGTACGTAGTTTTGGATATTTATCAATTTCCACTCTATCGTGAATATTTAATGTAGTTCGTAACATCGCATAGAATGTCCACAGTGAAGAGGAAGAATACTTTTTAGATAACTCTTCAAATTATACAAGAAGAACATTTTCAGATAAAGATGATATCTTTTTTTGACGTCTCCATTACATTAACTTTCCATATACTTGTTCGTACTTCGTTCGAGAATTTTCGGGCAATAAATTTGAACACACTTCTTCTGCCTGTTGCGTAACCTCAGGAGGTGTACCCACGGCCTCGAGTTCATTACTTTCGTTCTCACTATCGAGGTCCACTCCTAACTTATGAATAAGCTTACGGAAAAATACTAACGAGAATGATTGTCACGAATATTTCCTTCATATGTAATAAATCCCATGTGAGGTGTACAATTATCGCTCAATTACAGCGGTAATTGCATTGTAGAAAGCGAAAGAGCCCTGCGATAATTGCACAGTTCATCTCCATGGCAACTCCATTTGACACTTTGATAATACAGTGCACCGACAATTTATAAGTAGGTAACGTCAATTTGACAAGTAATGGTTGTTCGGGAAATATTCCTCCAAATTACACTCGTGCATCAAAATAAATCTGACTATTCAATTCATCTAACATTTGTCACATTTCAACCAGTGAAATGTCTCGATTTCAAATTGCTGCGCCAATGGGAACGAATTATAGTGATAATTGCACGTGTGGCATTTCAGCGATAATTTCACGTGTGGTATTTCAGCGACAATTCTATGCGATTATTCAATGACATTTGTCAAACTTCCACCAGTGAAATGACGCGAAATTTTGTCGTATTAACCGGAACATTCTTCTTAGTTTGTTAATCAATTTCGACAACCGACTTATCACCACATCTTTTAATTTAATCACTCATAACGATTTAGCTTGGAGCACAAAAGTTCGAATAGAATCAATAGCAAAATGAAAAGCAACTTCCATAATTTATTTTGACGTTTATTGTTGTCATGGAAATTTTTAATTCATTGAATAGTCCTCCGAATACCATTCGGAGTCGAAGTATTTGTAGATTATTTTTGAGCTGCTGCTCCACTCATGCTAGTTACGCTTTTTAATACCACGAGCGCACTACGCTAATCAGCGTAACTAGCATTCGTGACAGCACCTCAAAAATATTCGACAATACTTCGACTACTTATGGTATTATATATGATAATTTTTTATTCAAGCATGTTGTCAGTCAAAAACTGCATTCGGTCATTTTCATATTTTGTTAAAAGAGCCCTCCACCTTCGGTGTCGAGCTCTTTCGCCAAAATATAAAATAAACTCATGCAGTGTTTAGGCAACATTAGGCGCTTTCTTTCGGTGATCCAAACGCGTTTGGATTGTCAAATCACGTTCTTTCGAAGTGTGATCTTATAATCATGATTGCCAAGATCGTGAACAAACTGAACATAAAAGATTTATGATCACGAATTCCTAACCTATAAATGCAAGGATTGCTCAAATGTTAGGTTAGTCCATATTTGTAACTGAAGAGGAGCATAATCGCGCAAGTACTTCCACTTGAATTTAAATTATTTTCATAATCCAAACAAAAAATACGTAATTCGAATGCAAATGTGTACTCCGTAAACCTAACCTTACTTTGATTTAAATTCGCGCGTTCTTTCGTAAAACGTGATCCTACGAATCACGATTTTGAAATCATGATTGCGAAGTAGCCGAAAGAAAGTGCCTATGCTTTCAAAAAAATTATCGGTAATTTTGATGCACTTGTGCAATTAGGTACTTACGATAATTAACATTTTCATGTTTTGTTTTCAAGGAGCGCGCTATTTTGGAACTATTGAGTTATGAATGTTATTCTCCGATGGTTTGCAACCAATCATAGGCCCAATTTGATTCCATAACTACATAGCAATTAATTATGGCTAGCATTATTTACAGAAATAGAGGCATATTATAAGCGCATAATTTAATGGTCGTAGATAAAAAAGTTTTATTGCAATCAATACATATTACCTATTAACATATTATAAACGTTTATTGCATTGTAATTGTATTTTGGCGTACAGGGTGGTTCAAGAACATTCGTGGCTCACCATTGGGATCTCCGTAATGGTGAGAGGTGCAGTGTAGGTTAAATGAGGGCAAAGTCACCTAAAAACTGAAAATGTGAAATTTCGTTTACATTTTCCCTAGGTTAAACGGCCCGAAATGAACGGTTTTCGTTGCCACCTTCTATGGGCACATTTTTTTTCAGAGAATCTGAATTTGTTATACACACATTTGTTGGTATGTTATTTTGCGTTTGAAGTGTTCATAACTGTTCCTCACAATTCACATCATGTTTAGGGGGGATGTTTTTATTTATAATTTACTTCGCGCAATCGCAAATTTTCGAATTTCCCGACGGGCATCTTACCATCTTTTAGTCGTGGAACGATCTCCTCACATTCTCCGGAAAAACTATACAATGTAAGGAAGCTTAAGGAAAATGAAAACGAAATTTGATGTTTTCAAAAATTTTTCAAACATTCCAAGTGCGTTTTTTAGTTGCCATTTTTCCATCCGAGACACGGGCCCCTGCGCGGTGCGCCTGCGCCTCGGGTGTTATATTCTAAGAAAAATAACCTTTCGTCGAGGTTCGTATAGGATTTTATTCACGATCATCATTATAAACATTCCATTATCAAAAATAAAATAATTCACTAAATTTATACGTATTATATTCATCTTATGCGCCATCTGCAATATTACTGCCCTACATAAAATGTTGTCGGTAATACAAATTTGGAAATTTACCTAATTAATATTCATATTAATTTAACATGTATGTTCAAAAATGGCCCATACTAAAGAATTTCAATCTACATCCCCTCAAATAAGGGAAATTGAGTGTAGTAAAAAATTTACTCTCCCGAATAAATCTTTGAAGTGAATGAACAATGGTGGGCAGGAAAGGGTAGGTATAGATAAACTTCATGTTTGACTTGTTTATTTTAATGAGGTAAAGGTAAAGAAATCGTCCACATTATGAACGACCAAATAATGTTGTGATCCACATTCAAACCTAATGCGGTCATGCCTAATGACCATGTCAGTTTTATTATTCTAAAATGTACCTACAGCGATCTTTTATGATTACAGATTTAGACTGGGTTACAATATTAGTATTATAATTAGTGTAGATGTCAATAACGAAAGATTTATTCTCCAAATCCAATCAGGTAGTCACTAAACACCTGTTAGGTCCAATACGATAGCCCTAAAAAATACTATTACTATAAATACAATGCTATTACCTACCTCGATTTAGTTGCTATTATCCTAATGGATGGCGCTCTCCTCGTAACTGTCTGACACAGATGACAGCTGATTTAGATGCAAATTATTCAAAACCGCACTTTAAAAACAATTCTTATTCTTACTACCTATGAGCAATATGAATTATTTTAAGGTTTGTGCTTTATTTTGTAAATTGCAAATGAGCGACCAAACGCGAAAAAGTGAAATAAGTAAATGCGGACCGAAGCAAACGCAAGTAGGAGTTGTGATTAACTTTAGCCAGACTACGGGAGATGGTGTTTTGTTTCACGTAACCTAAAACTAAACGAGCGCGGGAAAAACAAAAGCAAAAAGAAACAGTTAATTATTAAAGGATCGGTAAGTATATAAAACTCGAACTTGAGTTAAATGAAAATGATTGTTACTTTAGAGAGACCATTACTGTTTAGATTTCTGGGTGGAAAAGTTCAATTCTTATCTATAAGACATGGAAACATTGGGTTGCGACCCATGAGAAGAGCAAGGGATGGCAATTTATGGCATCACATGTTGCATATCGGAGACGTCGTAGCACTACCTCATACCTGAAGAGGATACTTTGTTATTTTCGCGTGCCCGTAAAGCGAATGGGCGACGAAACCTCCTGCTACTGCAGCCGATCTACAGCCACCGAACTGTTTTAAGTTGAAGAACTCCACCAGCACTTGCTAATATTACAGCGATCATACTTATGCCAAAAACAATGTCCGGTAATTAAATGTAATTTGTCACATTTTAGAAATGCATAATGCTATTTTACATTATTAGTCAGGTAAGTGAGTTTTTACTGGCGATAGGAGAAGTTGTCATCTCCTAGAGCCAGTAAAAACTATTACCTGGCGTATAATGTAGGTACAATATTTTATTTGTTACTCATTTGTAAACAATAGTAAACGTAAATAATTAGTTCTTAAATTGATCTTGAAGAAATGTCTAAAATATCATGTTATCCATGTAACAGAGACTTCGCATTAATTCTGGCCAATGAAATTACTAGATTACTAACTTGTAAAATTTTTTCATTATACCTCTCCGAAAGTACTGTCTTTTCATGTATCCCAAGCGCACCGAAAGTAGGGTTTTCCCGTGCGAGCGCACTGGAATAGTTATTTACCTAACAAGTTCGGTAAGTTAATTTTCCCGCATGAGCACTTTGTTTGCAGCACGACCGTAGGGAGTGCTGCATTTAGTGCGAATGCGGGAAAATTCTTTCCGAAAGAGTTAGGTACTAGTTATTTACCTAACAAGTTCGGTAAGTTAATTTTCCCGCATGAGCACTTTGTTTGCAGCACGACCGTAGGGAGTGCTGCATTTAGTGCGAATGCGGGAAAATTCTTTCCGAAAGAGTTAGGTACAATATTTTTTGTAACGAATTGCGTAAAAAAAGGTCAAAATTAATAGTTTTGTAAATTAGTTTTTTTTAAATCATGAGTTGGTAACACAATCATATGTTTGGTTGGTAACATAATTTTGTAACTACCATTGCACTGGTCACATTTAAAACTTCCACATCTTTGGTTTAATACATATTTTGCCTTTGCAATGAGTGCTACTACTGGTCACGGCATTGCATCGTTTGCACTGAATATCCTTGGAAGTCTTCAATGTTAACAAATATGCTTTGAAAAGAGTGCTCTTATTGGTCGCGTAAGTGCACTGATCGTATTTAATATTCCCAGAAGACATGTGTGAAGAAATGTGTTCTCAAATTTGATTTATCTTGAGTTGCGTAAATACACTCGTTACATTTAAAATCCTTGGAAGCTTTGTGTGTGTTAATATGTGCTTTCTTAAACTGCATATGCGAATAGTTGCAGAATATCACTGGTCACATTTTAAGACGTTTTAACAATAAATTTTACTTTTTCTTGAGTTCCAATTCTGAAAAATAATTTGATTGCGTTATAAGTTCTTGTTTATATATTTACGTAAAACTTAGTGTACGTCTGTTTCCGATTAATCGCACTAAAAATACCCTCAACCAACGGTTTAATTGATTTTACAGCAGATGACAGTTAACCATGACATGACGTTCGTTGACTTCAATAAGTACTACCAACCGAAGAACGCGCATAACCCCTTCTCTCCAGCGGAAACTAAAAAACACCGCGATGCGGGAAAGTCGTTTTCCCGTGCATCGAGGATGCTTGGAAACATTATCTTTCCATTCAATGAGTACAAAAAACTTTTTCCCGTGCGCTACGAATAATCAAGTTTGCCATAGCTATCCCTATCCCATGCGTTGCCATGCATACCGCGGATTGACTTTGACATATATGTCAACCGATTTTTTACCATTGTGTTAAAAATGGATTTTGGTGAAGTCGAAATTCCCGCTAATATATTAAGGGAAGCTGCAGAAACCAGTTCCCAACTATTACCAGCGAAATCAAAAGAGAGATGCGAAAAGGAATATGAAAAATTTCATAACTGGTGCATTGACGAAATCGTGAAAAGAGTACGTTATGGAGTAGGTTTTCAATGATTAAGAACATTCTTACGGTAAAAGAAAATGAAAACGCTAGCAAATTGTGCAAAATCGAC